CCCCCCGGCAAAATCCATCCTCCATGTGACGTCACAAACTAAGCTACGCTCGCAGTCTAAAGATTGACAGCACCAAAAAACCGAACACAAAGCCAGCAAGGATTTTATCCGAAGACATTGAGACATTGCACAGACTCGTGATCGCCAAACAGGTCTCGACCAGAATTGCCACTCGGCGCTTGGCGGAAAACTACGATAGACGTGTTTATGACTCCCACGGTCGAGCAATGGCACACGAACAACTCCACGTTCGCGCGCTTGTAGGCCATCACGATTGTCAACTACAACACCTCACAGTTGTATTCACACAGCCAGTGGAGTGGTACACGAAATCAACAATCTCGTTTTTTCAGGAAAGGAAGAGACTGGGAGGGCGTGCACGGAGTACGTGCGCTTCTAGGCCATGACATCTGCCACAATCATTTAATTCTCCTTTTCACGCCGCTGTCACCGCAGAAAAATCAAGACAAAGCTCGCAGGAACACTGCTGTCATGGTGGCTAGCCTTTCGAGTGTCATCGAACCACAATCAATCGTATACTCTACATGGCGATTTCAACGCTAACCCCGGCTTGTCATGGCATGCAACTGACTCGTTCTCCGAGCCACTCTTGACGTTCTTGGGAAGAAGGCAAACAGCTATTGGATGGAGGTAAATTTCATCAAAAACTCTTCGTCTACAGATGGAACACTTTCTGGGCAAACTGCTCTCAAAGAGCTGCATGTACGCATAAAAGAAAATCGCTTAAGAAGGCAAGGCAAACCTCGATGGAGGTTGAGTTCATCAGAAACAGTTACAGGTGGAATCTCTACATGCGCACGACGGTTGAACTCCTCTCAAAGCGCTGCATGTACGTAAAAAGACAAACATCGCCGAGCAAGGCAAACTTGGATGGAGGTGAAGCTCATCAGAAACAATCATAGGTGGAACACGCTGCATGCGCGCGAAGGTCGGACTCCTCTCAAAGCGCTGCATGCACGTATAAAAACATGTGACCAATCATATTCAACCAAAAAAGCACCTCCGACCCCCCTCTCTACAACCCTACTGCAATGCAACTATGAACCAGACGTCGAGTCTAATTGGTGAGGGAACGTACTACTAGGGGTTCGTTTCTCGGAAGCCTCATCTACTGGGGACAATCAGAGGAAGTTAAAGACGGTAAGAACATACACAGCAGTACATCACACCAAAGCCAAAACCAAACTAACACGTTCGGGGTAAATTCTTGCAGCTGTGTACACTTTTGCCGAGTCGATACTAAACACACCGCCATCACTGAACGACAAGAGGAAACCATTGCAGCACCACCAGTAACTGAAAGGAGGCGGTCATCATGCGGCGGGGTGGTGGTGAAATTGCGCCGCCATCAGACCCCCTCACGATCCCGGCTCGTCCACAGGCGGCACGCCAGCAGCAGGCGACACCGCCCCCCGTGGCGACGGACCCCGGGATTCCTCGACAGCCTTCGCCACCTCGGCTTCCACGAGAGCGGCCACGCTCGCCTCCAACCCCACCCTCAGACTCTCGACGCTGCGAGCCACGCTTCGCTCTAGCTCCGCGATCTGGTCCTTCAGGTCAGCGTCCACGGACTTGAGGAGAGCGAGGACGGCCTCGCCCCGACCCCTCCCGGCCTCGTCCAGGTGGTTCCGCGCGCGTATGATTTCCTCCAACGTTACCGTTTGGTTCTGCTCGCCTTGCCCCTGCGCGAGGCCGTCGGGCATGGTGGGGTTCTCTAGCTGCGCCCAGATCTCCGCAACGCTGGAGCCGGCGGCGTGACGTCCCCCGGGGGAGGCGTTCCCCCGTCGCAGCATGTCAGCGACAATGACGTCACTACAGGCGGACGGCGAACCGGCGGTGGACGCGCCGCCGGAACCAGCAGCGGAGGGTCGACGCGGAACTCTCCTACCGCTGCCGTCTTCCCCTCCGTTCCCGCCGCAAAGCGCAGCCGCCAGCGTCTTGAGCGTCAGCGCCGCGAGCCCCAGTCCGGAGCGGACCCAGAACCACGACAGGACGAAGGGCAGGGCGAAGACGTGGAGGACAACAACAACGGAGCTGCAGGCCACCGCGACGGTTAGCGACCTCCCGGTGTAGGTGGCCCTCCTCCAGGCGGTCAGGACCGCCATCGGCGCCGACGCCGCCCAGAGGCCCCACGCGATCAGGATCGCCGGAGAGCCGAGCGTCAGCCAGAAGACTCCCACGCTGAACTCGCGCATGATCTTGGGGCAGGTCTTGGTGCCGAGCAGGCCGTCGACCCCCCTCGCCACGAGACCCACGGCGATCTGGGGCAGGTTGAACGGGGAGGGGAGGACGTCGCTGTCGACGATGCGGACGTAGAGCTTCATGATGCGGACCTTGGACTCGCGGAAGGCGATGTCTTGCTGCTCGTCGACCTTCGCGTGCTCGGTGCTGGCAGAGGGGGAGGGGGGGGGGGGAGGAGAGAGAGAGCTGATACCAAGAGACCAGACACCAACAGCAGCGGAGGCTTTCTAGTGAAAACTTGCGGCGAAATCCTGAAATAAAGAACCAAACGGCTGCTTGGTTGCACTTGTACATTGAAGATCACAGTGAGCTCTGATCTGGCTTCGCCATTGGGTAGGGTCTGTAGGGCAAGCTGGCGTCATATTCTTGGTACAGCCGTTGGGAAACTAGAGGCGTTTTACTCGAACCCCTTCAATGAACACGACTCGCAGAGACCCCCCCCTCCGATGGTTCCACTCGAAACAACCGCCAGGCAGCGAAACGAAAAAGGAAGGCCTACACGGTACGGGGTGGACCACGACAAGGCAACGCTCTGACCAAGCGTTTCCTACCCCATCTCCACTGTCGCTGTGAACACGCAAATAACGACGCAGCAAACTGCATCCCTGGAAGCGGAGGCATGACCACACGTTCGCGCCAGGTGATGCGGCAAAACGAAAAACGCGCGTCTTCACCAAAAACAGCAATTTTGTGCTAAAACCAAGAGCAACGACACCAACGACACCTACGACACCAACAACAACAACGACGACGGCAAACACCGACGGGCGTTTTCCTTACCTCAGCACCGCGATAAGAAGGTTAAGGAGCATGACGGCCACCACGGTCAGGTAGACGACAAGGAGAACCCGGGCGACATCTCTGTACACACTGTCTTCGTAGATCTCCGAGAACACGCTCACCTCGCCGAGCATGGCTTTGAAAACGTCCAACCAAACCTGGCGACACCACGGGCGGGGGCGTGGAGGAGGGACACGGGGGAGGGACGTAGCAGCACGGTACAAACGAGAAAAAGGGATGACGAGACACGTGCAGGAGCTGCCGTTAAACCCCGGGTTTAACGTCCCGGAGCGCCGAGGCAAGAGGTGAAACTGAGGGCGTCAGGCCCTAAAGAACACCGTGTGTGCCTCGCTACAGGTGCGCTCGGCACGTTTTAGTGTCGATGCCCTCACAGTCCGGAAAGGTTTCTGGCATGTGCCCGAGAATATCAACAACGAAGAGAACGACGACCACGACGACGAAGAGAACGACGACCACGACCACGACCACGACGACCACGACCACGACCAACACCAACATTAACAACGAGCTTACGGCGGTGCAAGACTCACGTCGCCGTACGACTTGGCCTCCTCGAACAGGGCGTAGAAGCTCACGGTGAAACCCATCATGATCGTCCCGAGAACCAGGGCGAACTGGAGCATCTCCCCAAACAAGATGGTCATCATCTGCGTTCGGGTGGGAGGGGCGCAGGACGAAAGCAGAGTGTGCCAATAGCACCACGAGACAACCGTTCGGCGGCGGCGGCGGCGGCGGCGACGGCAGGGGTCCCCGCAGGTGCCGCCAGCGCTATTGTACAAGGGCGGAAGCTATTGTACCCTGTGCTTTGTCTCAAACATAACTACAAACATAACCCTCTCACGGGGGCGCGCAGTCAGCGGTGGGAGCACCAAAGGAGACCCCGCACCCCCCCCCCGCCCCCTCCCCCGCGCCCGATCGATGAACGACGCTTCTCATAACATCCTCCCCGTCGTTTTTCTCAGTACATAAGCAAACATACTGGATAAAGTATAGAAACGGCTAAGTTGGGGTTGGGGTTAAGGTCTGCGTGCCCCCTGTCTGGGCGTTTTTCGTAATCCCCCTACTCTCGTTGCGTAGGAAATCCTTTCTGGGAAAGCGGTCGCCCATTACCTGTCTTGAGATTGATAGACCGTTCCGGTCTCCGCTTAGGACCTTCCGACACCACACCACATCACACATACACACGCACGCGCCGAGACGATGACTGATGACTGATGACAACGTCTTGGTGAGCGCATAAACCGTCGTTTACGCTCTCGCCTGAATCACGAGGCCCTGGCGCTTCAAGAACTGCCCGAAGAACAGCACGCGGGAGAACACGAGCGGGGCGCTGAGGGCGAACAGGGCCCGGCCCTGGTGCACGTCGCTGTTGCGGATTCGGATGGTCAGCCCTCCCGCCAGCAGGAGCAGGGACAGGCTCTCTAGCCAGTTCCACTTGTCCCGCCAGAACTCCACGAAGCCCGCCCGCATCTGGAGGAGGTTGCTCACGATCTCGGCCTGCGTGTTTGTGGAACGAAACCAAACATCCCCCGTGGGGGTGGGTCCGCCGTGGGGACAGGGTTGGTGTTCAGAACTTTGATTGTCTTGTTGTTGTCTTGCCATCGGCCTCTGCTCAGTGCTTGTTAGCACCCGCACTGGTTGAAGTGACATGGACGTGTTACGTGGCCACAGGCTTCGAACAACCATGCACCGAAAAGGGATACCACACGCCTCGAACAACCAAAGAGGAAGCAACAAGGACACTTAAAAATCACCAAAACGACGACATAGCACAGCACGAATAGACGGAGGAACGTGATCGGTCATGCATCGCCCGACGAAACGTCGAAAGCATTCATGTTCTATTCTTCGGCGTTCGCATCGACTTCTTTCCCTCTTGTATCTCTCATTTTTTGGCACGAGACAATAGTCTCCCTTTCGTCTCTCCTTTAGCCACTCTGGAATAGCAGGGGGGACGCAGAAGGTCCCTTCCTCTTCCCGGAACCAGGCTGCCGGGCGAATACCGGACCAAATCACCCCGTTGCATGAATACTCTCGGCGTTGATGGCCGCTGGCGCATGCATGCAAGAAAGCTACTTGTACTTGTGTGTGCACCCAAGCTGAGAGGTCGCATGTTCTTGAAGCCGTATTGTCGTTTGGGGTAGGCGCGAGGTGTGTAGTTCGACGGCCTGGGGCGGGATGCTTCTCGCTCGAGTGGCGCGTGGCAAAACAAGACGACGACGACAACAACAACAACAACAACAACAACAACCAGCGACAACAACAACAACAACAACAACAACAACAAAAAACAACAACAACAACAACAACAACAACAACAACAACAACAACAACAACAACAACAACAATCAGCAACAACAACAACAACAACAACAACAACAACAACAACAACCACAACAAAGCGCGCCAACTCACCATGACATGGAACGTCAGGGCAATCTCCGTGTTGCTGAGCTCGCCGTCGTCGCTTTCCAACGCCACCGCCGTGTAGAGCGCGAGCGTAATGAGGTGAACGTAGAAACCGAGCAGCATCCGCATCACCGGCACCTGACACCACACACACACGTGCCCGGCCCCAAACGCACACACAAAAGAACCGGGGGCGTGATTAGGCCCATAGGCTACATGGTCCCGATATACATAGTGGAGCACAACAGCCCAAACACGTCCGAGAAACCCGAGAGAGCAGGAGTAGGGGTGTAGGAAACACCCGAAATAACGCGGACACACACACTTACGGGCTGGTTTTCTGAAAAGGGGTGTTCCAATGGGGGGCGGGGGGGGGGCGAACTCTTGTGTTTCGCATGCCTTAGCGGTTAGACCATTGACCACGCGTCCTCGAGAGGACGGAGCATTGTTTCCGCAGGACCGATCACCGATGGACAATGGTTTCTTCCTACTTTGCCAAAGGTAGTTCAAAATTTGTCGTCCCCAGCGTATCTATCCTATCGATATCATTTCTCGCCATTTAAATCCACTCCCTTTGCCCCACCACAGCTACCACCTTCTGGGGGGGGAGTATGACGCAAAGGATAAAATACACGCAACCGACAGAACCAATAAGGCGACAACGGAAAGCCTATTGCTACCCCATGACCCGCCAACCCAGATCGTCTTCAGCAAGCACCGTCCGCGATCCGATGGCACTGATCTTCCACGGGCGGTACCGTGACGAAGTATATCCCCGGCGTAGGCCCCCGGAAAAAAGCCTGCCCAAACACGAAGTTTGATTACCGTGGGATACAACTGCTGTGGTAACCGTGGAATGACCGAGATACCTTGTAGTACGCCAAGGGCTTGGTGAGGATCCCGACCAGAACAAACTGCGCGCCGGGCAGAAAGGTTCCGCTGAAAATTGTTTCCCAGTCACTCGGCCTGTCGTGGAATCGCCGAAAGAAATGTCGGAGGGAGCACAGCGATGTAAAAAACGCGAGAACTCCCTCCATGACCATTCGTGTATGAAATTGGCTGAGAGTGGTTGTCGTGCGGTAAATGGCCTATCATATACAACGCTGTTAGTTCCATCACCGATCCTGGACTCCTGTCTGTTGATAGAGATGCAATTCATAGTGTTGGTTTCGTGAAAACACTTGTACACAGGACGTAGCATACGCAAAGCTCGTGGGGGATATAGTATATGACATACAAGTACATCCCTGAGCGAAAATGCAACGTCTTTTTGGGGTCCTCCTCGCCTTTCCGGAGGGGGCGTCAACGCCGCCGCCGCCCTCCGCCCCGTCCAGCCCAGCCCCTGCAGCAGCCTCTCGGTCGCAGACCCGGCGACGAAGCCGTCCGAGTACAGGAAGTCTCGCCCCTTGCGCCCGCGGCGCGTCCCCGAGGGGGCGGAGGAGGAGGGTGGGGCGCCGCCACCGCCCCCGCCCCCGCCACCGCCGCCGCCGCCGCCGCCGCCGCCGCCGCCGCCGCCGCCGCTGGCGGCGGTGTAGACGCTGCTGGCGCTTGCCGCACTAGCCACCGGCGCCCGAACGGGGCCGCTGGTTTCGAAAGACGTCCTCGTCCTCTTCTCCTCTCGCCCCCCGAGCAAGTCGTTCGAGTCTTGGAGGTCCGGGAGGCCGGCTACGAACCTGCAAGTGGCACGGGGCGGGCGAGTCATTATCTTTTTTTATAAAGGATCACGTCGGTAATTTTGCCGCGGTCAAATTACCGCCCCGGTGGGCGGTACAGTACCGGGAAACCGCCGTTTTGTGTTTTTTACCGCCTCCGCCAAAGTTTTCGCCGCCGAAGAACGCGAAACCGCTCACTACTGCCGCCGAAAGCGTTACCGTATTATGGCCTTTACCCCTGCCGATGTCCGCCTAAGGAATCGGTACCGACGTAACCCTTGGCTTTCTTGACTTGCCTTCGGCTTCGAACGTTCGGGCCGTTACGTCGAAACACACACGTACATACACGCACGCACGCGCTGGCGGGTGTGGTCAGACTCCCGTTTGGTGACCGACCAATACATCGCGGGAAGGAAAACCCCCTTTCACCTCCCCCAAATCACAACTGTCCAAACTGGAAGGCAAAGTACCGCAGGAGGGGAGGGTAGAGAGGGGCTCTTCTGTGTGACCACGGGTTGGAATTATCGGCACTAGTGCTCTGAGCTCTGATTTGAAGTGAAGACAAAAAAAAAAAAAATGCACCCACGGGCCCCCGAACATATGTTATGCATACACCCTGCCGTGTTGGGAAAAGCGCATGCCTGTGGTACACGTACTCCAAAAACACCAGCGGCGACAAGTGTACACCAGCTCGTTGCGCTGAAAAAAAAAACAGAAACAAAATGATAAAAAAACTCGATGAAACTCCAAGATACGTGAACAGCCGAGCCTGTGCTGAAAAAACCTCTCACCGCATACCTGTAGCACATGTACTTGAACATGAGCGGCGCAATGCACAGGGTCTTCGAGAACTGTCTCTCCTGAAGCGCGAGCCTCAGAGGGCCCCGGAAGTCTCTGTCCCGCAGGACCCCGGCCACCTCCGGCTCGAGGACGGATTCGCAGCCGCCGACCCCCCCCGGGAAGCTGGCTATCGTCTGCGGCAGCCGGTCTAGCACCGCACGGAGAAGGTCGTCCATGGCCTTCTGGAGGGCCTCGAGGCACCGGCTTTCTCTCTCGGGAGCGTTCTTGAGGGACTCTTCGAGGGCGACGGACAAGCTGCCATTGTTTTTTTTGGGGGGGGACCAGGGGCGTTTGTTCAGGAACATTATGTGTCAGCAGCGATATATATCCCGTAAGGAGTGCGAAAGCGTAACGGATTTTTGTTGAGAGAAGCTGGCCAACGTTTGGGGGGGTCGGCGGTCTTCGCGCAGCAAGCGCAAAACGAGAAACAAAATGGTACAAAATGCGAGCGCTAAATAACAATGAATGTTGTCTCGATTCAGAATAAGGTTCGTGGGGCATGTGGGGAGCAGCACATAGCACTGCTGGGTGTCAGCCACAATTTCACTGGGATCGGGAAGGATGGATGTACGAAGGCACTGAGCACAGACCGAAACGCTTTTAAATATGAAGACAACAGCAGCAACAACAACAAATGAAAAAAAAAATGAGCACCTCAGGCCAGGGATGAAGGGGTTGTCGACGAAGGACAAGCCTCCCAAGAAGCAGTCCTTCATTTCCTCCAGCTTGAGGATTTCGGCGAGGGCTATCAGATCCTTCGGGTCCACAACCGCCCCGTAAGCGAAGAATACCGACATGGCCGGCAAAAGGTCGTGCGCGGGGTTAGATCCTTGAGGGCAGGCCTTGAAACCTTGGGTGCATGCCTCGCTCATCTGAAACCCACGTAGCGGGGGGGGAACACGAAACAAGGCCGACGGGGGGATAGGGGCGGAGAGTCTCAGCGGAGAGCCTCCGAGTTGATGTTACCCTCTCCCAGCTTTCGCTTGCAACTGTGCACCTCTGTGTGCCCCGTATGCGTGCGCGATATACGGACTTCTCGCTTGTGTTATTCCTTGTTTGCTACGTATACCTTAGGTTGTATACGTGAGATACAACCCCCCCCGGACCGTTTGCCAAAGCTTGGTAACTCTGCAGCACAAACAGTGACGGTGCCGAACATGGAGGCATCGGAACTGTCTCGTCGAGAGCTATGCAAGTGTGTATCATTCGATTTCGGCATCCAGTTCGTCGTGGAGTACTCGAGCTTTCAAAATTGGTTAGGGAGGCATGGTGTCTTGTATGCAACACACGGTACTTTCGTCGTGAAAACCACAGAACATGATATGAGGTCTCAACCGCAGTGCCATGAAAAAAGGAGACACATGTGCCAACAAAAGTGTTACACATTCGGCCACAACCCCCCCCTCCCTCTCTCAAGGAAAATCCGATTTGGCGCAGCAAACCCAAGGATCATGACCAGCTCCTGGCTCACCCTTGTGAATCGTAGCTTGGGCCGGCGAATCCCGGGTATGTTCCGGCATTGTAGGAATGCGAGGTCTAACGACTGCGGCATGCATCTACATGAGTACACCCCGCCTCCCTTTCCCGCCCTTCGGGGCATGCCTACAACACACAGATCTCCGAAAGTCTCGTGATCTCCGAAAATCTCGTCGTTCGTGACCCGGAGATCTTTCGAGTCTTCTCTGTCTGTCTGTCTGTCTGTCTGCCTGTCTGTCTGTCTGTCTCTGTCTCTCTCCCTCTCCCTCCCTCTCCCTCCCTCCCTCTCTTTGTTTATATACATATCGTTACGCGCTGGCTGACGCACATCTCGAGGAAGCAGGGACTTCGAAAACACCTCCGCCCAGGCCCAAGACGAGTGTCGGTTGCCGCGGTGAGCGATATCTCTGAAGAATCTAGTCGTCGTGATGTCCCCTCCGTCAGTCGGTCGCAAAGCCTCCATCCCCTAAAAACAAAACGCAAACCAGAAGAACTTTCAGTGAGTATAAGCAAGGGTGCCCTCTGGAGAGGGCTGGCTCATGAGAGGAGGAGCACCGCAGAGTCATCAAAGGGCGTGATGAAATATGAAACAGGAACGTCAAAGGGCTGGCTGCCAGCTTACTGTGACGTTGTCCAAGCCCGAATAGCCCGCGAAGCTGACCGTGCTTCGACCCGAAGAGCCCCGCGAGCCACACTGAATGAAACAGAAAACACTTCCTTCCTGAATTATTACATAACCGTGTATGTACAGCAGTTAGCGTCCGCACTAAAGAAGTACAGTTTAAATTTGGCTGAGACTTGTTTCAAATCTTCTCTATGAAGCACCCCAACAGTGACTATAGTATAGGTTCTAGTGTAGGATTGTTGACTGAGCAGCTGTTGCTGTAGCCAAGTTCTGATGTTCTTAGCCTGAGTTTCTTAACCCCCAGGTTCCCAAGCGCGGGCTCTAACCGCGTATAAACAAACCACTAACACTTGTAAGGGACGGCACACACCTGCAGGGAGTGGTCAGCGACTGGTTGAATGTAAGCATCACATTGAACCATCGCTATGGATGATGTTGCGTCGGGCTGACCCCAACACTCGACACGGCCTTCGCTCGACAACGGTCATCAAGGAGTTGCTTGCAGAAACGTTCTGATCCGTAGAGAAGAGTCTAGAACCACACGCAGGCAGCTAACCTCCGTGTGGTGCCTACTGCTGCAGGCTGGAGTTGTGTGATTTAAAAGACTGGTAAACTGGTATCTGCCGTGCTGTCGAGTATTCCAGAACGCAAGCTTGATCACTCCAAGACGGTCTACGTGTATCTGCTCCTGCTCTCCCCCGAAACCCACAGTCTATCTCTGCCCTATGCACGTAAATGTAATAGCAACAGTAAGTGACGTTGACGTTTTCTTTCTTCTGGGAAGTGCTCAGATCGTTTCGCCCACATTCACGCAGTCTATTTGCTCACAAAGGCACTCTCATCCCCTGCTAGTTACATCCTGTTCGCACATCATTCCTGGGCAGCGGGTAATTGCCGAGAACCGCCGCCACCGCCCTGAAGCTCTCCAGACCCTCTCCCTCCGCCGCCGCCGCCGCTGCAGGTGCGGCACCCCCCAGGATGTGTCGGCCGCGGGGCCACCTCTCCCCCATCGCCTGCAACACCCGCGACACCTTTTAGACCGCGCACGCCGGCGGGGAGGGGGGGTCGTCGTGCAGCGATGCGGTGGGTTTGCGGGGTAATTTAGCCAGCGTGAGTGGGGGATCAATTCGAGAGCGAGGCGTGTGTGCAAGGATGGCTGTGTTCGTTCTGCAGCTGGGAGGGAATGTCTGGGTCAATCGGAGAGCGGAGAGTCGTTGTGGTCGTGAATGGTCGAAATGACGTCTCGTTGATGCAATGCGACACGCGACGGCCATGCCCTATGCATACGACTCTGTTGTTGTCGTAGCTGTTGTGGTGGTGTGGTTTTTCTGATGCTTTTACTTTGGTAACGCAAACCCTGACTTAAAAGTTTCAACTCTCCTAGTACCCAGTCCCTCCGCAAAAAACACATGTCACAAAAATGTTTGTCAGCCATTGGTCGAGGGACTACAGCAGTCCCTCTCTAAAGAATCTGAGCTCTTTGCCAGACGAAGGGTGACTTGACTTCAGTACGAAAAGTGTCCCCAAACACGTGGGGACACGTTTCATACTGAAACCAAGTCAGAAAAAAAAATCCAGCACCAGGCGATGTACAGCAGTTTTACGATCGAGGGGGCACGCGGGTTGGGAGATGTGAGCAGCAAGTCAGAGGCCCAGGAGAGGAATCACACAGCATACCATCACACAGCGTACCAACTCAGCCCGAGCATGATAGACCAAGGGTTCTCACGTGCGTTGCACACAGCGGAGCCTAGGACGACTACAGTGCGATAAATAGGCATTTGAGTGCTATGTCCCCAAAGTGTCCCTATTTGGCCTTCCAGTACTGGGAGGGTTAACAGCAGTAGCAGCAGCAGCAGCAGCAGCAGCAGCAGCAGAAACAGCAACAACAGCAGCAAGAACGTGCATCTGTTGGTTTCCCCGCAGGTGACAACAAATACTGGCTGTAGATACTGGGATGTGAGCCTTGAACGAAATAAGAGCGTTCCGCTCAATGTACAGCGACACATGCAGCGCATACGCATTGCTGTACATGCGTTGTACAGACACCCTTCGAAATGATCGCGCGGCTGCTCTCACGAACAAACGGCGTTTGTGTGGAGGGCTCAATAACATGTTACAGAAACCGTGCAAATTACCTCATCGTCTGCTCGTCCTCCTCCTCCTTCTCCTCCTCCTCTTCGTCTCCCTCCCCGTCCCGCTGTTGCTTTTGCAGCAGCTAGATCATTATGCGCATCATCATCATCCGCAACCACCTCGTCGTCCTCCTTCTCGTCATCCTTGCCTTCACGCGAAAACGATGCCTGCATTGTTATTGCCCCGCAAGCTGTGTCTCGAGCTCTCCTCCTAGCAGTAACAAGACAGAGGGAATGTTGTTTTCTGTGAGAGACGCAGCTATGTGCTAACAGCAGCAGCAGTTGGCAGAGATGAAACGGCCACTAGGGAGGGGTATGCGGCGCTCGCAAACAATGGGTGTGCTGCAGCTGTGCATATTCTATGGTGATTGGCAGCGGTGCGGCGGCCATTAGAGAGGAAGGAATAATCATCTCCGGAGATCTCGTACTTTGTGTGTCTCTCACACCTCACACGCGGTGCTCGCTAACAATCGGGTGTATTCTATTGCATGTAGCGGCTGCGCCTTCTCTTCCTGCGGCCCGTCGTTCCACGGACCTTCTCTTGATTTAACGCGATGCCGTGTAGCAGGCAAAGTTATCATGCGTGGCGGGTGTCGACGGACCAGAGGGTGCAGTATCACACCACACCGACACCACAACCCCCTCCTCTGCGGACAAACTGCGGCAACCAAATATTGTTCGGTTTTGTTTCTTCGTACATGTATGGACACGCCACCAACATCACCCAAACCAGATCATACGGAAGCCGCAACCGAGCGTAACAGCCTGCCAACAAGCCACAAGGCCAAACTTTACCTGTTCTCGAGCAATGGTCCGACGAGACGTGAGTGATGCCGCCGGGCTTGTTGGGCCACCTGCTCGACAGAGGCGCCAACAAGCCAACAAGTCGGCCCTTTCGGCCATCAGGCGTTTCGAATCAAGCGGCCATACGGTTCGGGGTCCCCATTCATGTTACTACACAGCCTACCTACACAGTAAGAACGGGAAGGGGAACTGCGGGCTCTTGGCGGTGATTCTCCTCGCCTTATGATGTGATGGCGGGATGGGCGCACGCAATGCGCAGAAGATACTGTCTCTGGACGTTGCGGATTCCGAGACTGTGGCGATCTGGGAGAACTTCCTGTTTGTCTTCCGGGGGCGTATATGTACAGGGTGGTGGAGATCAAGGAGTTGGCCATGTCGGCTGCGAACCTCGGCAGTCAGCGCGACTGGAATAGTAAATCATGCTCCGGGTAGCATCTTTTCTCGACGACAACGCCGTCATGCTGGCCGGGAAGCTTTTCGGGCTTCAGGTGCAGATCGTCCAGGTGAACGACGATACCCGACAGCTGTACGACGCCACGGGAAGCTCCCACGGACGAGCTTGGAGCATCTCGTCCTCTGAGGCAATAGTTGGTGCTGCACCGCCCGCACTATGCACATTTCGAGGCTCTTGTCTCCAAGTTCAGATCCGTGGCTCACGAAAATGTCTTGTTTTGTTTCGTGTGCCGAACTATGTAGTCTATGTGCAGTATGTACCACACATTTACCCGTTAGAATACTCACTCCCACTCCCACACTTCTTTTCTCACCAGGCAAGCATGACACACCCAGTGGGTGGCCCTTGTGGACCCAACGACGTCAGCTGGGTGGTGGACTACCTCACTGAGCTTTTGGAGATGAACTTTCAGACGCTTATTGTGGCCGAGATGCAGAGACGGACGGTGAGACGGACAGGGCTGCCGCCGATGCAGAGGCGGACGGTGAGGCGGACGGCGAGACGGACAGTGACGAGGCCCCTCCCGAGACGGTTTCGGAGGTAAGCAGAGTTCGGGTCAAGTTGGAACGTGTTTGTCTGGCTCGCTTCGAGGTGTGTATATATTTTTGGTCGATCTATGTACGTAACTTCTTCTGTTTCACTATCGGTTTGTTCTCAGGGGAAGGCCATCGCGTACCACACAGGCAACATGATGTACAGTGTGCTGCTGGACATGGGCGAGGAGGACGCCCCCCAGGAGCACGTGGTGGGCGTGGAGGCCGACCCCCAGGAGTGCGTGGGCGCGGAGGACGACCCCCAGGAGCATGTGGACGAGGAGGACGAATGGATGCCGCGGGTTCGTGTAACCACGCCTCGCAGCTGGCGGAGGACTGGTCATTGTCAACTCAAGCGCCGGAACCGGCGCCTCCGCGAGAAACGCCGCCGCCGCCGCCAAAGACGCGGGGCCGGTGGCCATCGTCGACGTGCCCCAATACGAGGTGGAGCTAGCACGGGGGACGGACTGGTGTGTTGCTTGTTTTTGTCGTCTCGTATGTCAGGCAGAGCGAATAGATAACAGACATTGTCTTTGTTTGCGTTGTCTCCTAGGATTGTTTATGTTTAATTATACGACAGGTCTGTACCTCGTACACTATACGTCGAACGCTTCGACTGCTTTGAAGGAGGTGTCTGGGAGGCCGAAGCGAACAACTCGGGTGAAGCACCCCCGCCCCCCGATGAGGTGCGAGTTATGGCAGTCTCTGCGCGAATGAGATTGCTTGGTACTAGAAACCACACAAAGATGTATGGTCAAGACACCAAGAGCCCTATAGAACGCAGCTTGTGCGCATGGTGGCTGGGAGAAAAGGTCGTGTTGTGGGAAGCCCAGCAGAAGCGGGAAGCCCTGGAGACGCAGAAGGCGATGACTACAGTGGAGTGCATGGAGTGCAACAAGAAGACACCGGTCGAGACTTGTTGTTCTTTTAGCCACAGAATGTAGCACTGACATCCTTACATGCCTCGCCATGTGTACCTTCAATGTTTCGTACTTACTTGCGTTTATCGCGTCCTGCCATTGCTCGCATTCCCTTGAACAGTGGTTCTGCGACGAGTGCAAGGAGGAGAGAGGGGGGGCAGAGCCGGTACAAACGATGGACGTGGAAGGTCCGACGGAGTCGACACGTGTACCACAACCGTAGCAGCAGCCGATGGAACGGGCCCCCGCGTCGACGTTAGCGAACGCGAGCACGGCCACTAAAAGGAAGGGGCGCACTACATCGAAGAGGGGACACAAAGCTGGCAAGGCTGCAGCTGGTTCGACGGCTCGCAAGGTGGGCAAACGGCGCGTCCGGAAGCCAGCTAGGGTCACTGCGAAGGGGTATATATGCGTGCATGCTTGAAGCTTGGTGGGATGACCGGAGTGAAAAAAGTCTTGGAGTAAAGCAAGGCAAACGCCGAGAGATGTAAAGGAAGGAGTAAGGGGGTACGGTTCCCCGTGCGGGAAGGACCCGCCCATTGCAATCACCTCCATCCCTCTCATCGCCAAACTACTCACTTCAGGGTCGTGCGACGACCGTTTTAAACGGTATCGAGATCTTGGACGGAGTGTTTTTCAAGCATTCCGCCCTTGATGCGCTCGGGTGTTACTCCAGCTGGGAGGACATGTTCGATCCAAAGAGCATCACCATGTTCGACCCAAAGAGCATCGGGGTGGTTTTGGGCAAGACTAAGGTTGAAGTCGACGGGGGAAGAAATCGTGGTGGCATCTTTCGATCATGGCAAGTACATCCTGTCGGATGGTAGCATTATGTATCCTAGAAAAGGCAACGTGGATTCTCTCAGTGGCGCACCCTAGACGGGCACGCAGGCCTCGACAGCACCCGCGCATGCCAAAGTCAAAAAAAGTTAGAGAGAAGGAGGTCAGGCATGCACTTGCTCGCCGCACCTGAGGAGAAATCGAGTGGGGAACTCCGGCAGGCGCCATTGATGTTTCACGAAGGACGAGGTCATCGAGATTAAGTGCTAAAAAACTTGGAAGAATTGGGTCGTTTAAGGCCTACGGAGAACACAATCCTTCGCACGCGAAACGCCTCCATCTTTTCGCGCATGAAGGGGAGAAAGCTTCAAATTACGTTAAGATGGCCACGAAATTGTGCGAAGGACGGAATTCGCGTTACTTTTGAAGAAGTGGTGCCTGGAAGCAACAGCCTGGGGGTAGACGTGGTGGATGGGACCCACGTCTTTGGTAGAAGCTATATTTACCGCTTCCGCGGGTGCCACGCCCGATGCTAGAGGAACCGGTGGCGCGACCTGGGGGGTGTACAATACGAAGGCAACACCGGACGAACAGTGTACCGGGGTACGGGCGCTCGGGGAAGCCATCGGGCAAGCATACGAACGAGCCAAGGAGGGCAAGAACGATGAGGTTCTTCAATATATGAACCACTAAAGTTAATGGAAGGTCGAAGCGCCCACTGGTCACGTCCTTGGCGGGACGTGACAAAGAGTGCGAGCCAGGCGCGTGGAAAAAACAGGGAGCAAGTATCCAACGGACTCCAACGACAGGCCATTCCGGAACCTAGTAGAGAGTAGAGAAACACACTGATTTTGAGTGGCAGTCGTGGCTTAATTGAGGGAAACGACTTGCCTGGAGACATTGATTGAAAGAACGTGCTTTGAACGTCGTTTCTCGTTTGCTTCGTCGATGCGTAGCCCCCGCTTGCCCGGTCGTTCCAGGGCACGTGACAAAACTGTCCTTTAGGGGCACAATAAGCAGCCCACTCAGTACCGTAGTCGACGACCACACCGGTGACGACGGAGTGCACCCCCCGTGACAATGTTGAGCGAAAAGACACCAAAATATTATCCTGCTGCGCGCGTGACCAAGGGATGGGCTTTTAAGCTAACGCCATCGTCAACCTTCGCCTTGTGCCTCCTCGACCGGGTCACCGTCCGCCGGCGCTTTCTTAGGAGGAAGGGTGGTATTTGACGGCTTAAGAGTAACAATAAAGAATCGCAGGCGAAGGGGGCAACTTTCCGCGTCAAAGCCTTAAAAGCTGCATGGAACCTGACGTACGTGCATTTTTATCCCCGAGTGGCGTTCTTCCGGAGGACGTGGCGTCCTGGGCAGCACGAATCAGATACATCCACGTTTGGGACGACAAAGCTGCCATGAGAGAGGCCTTCCGGAAGACACCTGGTCTCTATTCCCTGGCCGCTTTTTACGTTGCTCAATTGATATGTTTGTGGCATAGCCTGGCTAAGTGTTTTTTGTCGGCGCTGCTGTACCTCTTGTTGGGCGTTAAAGATCGCAGGAAAAACATAGTTAATTGCTGCGAACCATAGGCTGCGCTGACTCGCAAGGCGGATGGGCGTCACGACGCCAGTCCGCTGCTCACGACGGCGGGATCGGTTATGGCGTTTCCAATCGATTTCAAAACAATTTCCCAAAAGTGCAGATACATGCATGCGTGTTACGGGCCTTATAGCTGAACCACATCGTGGCAAAACTTTTTTTCTGTGGTTGCTGCTGCTCGCGCCCCCCCCTCCCGTTCCCCCCCCCCGGACCTGGGGGACTGGGTTCGACCTGTACGTGAACAACACAAAGTCAAGTTAAGCCTCTGCCGGACATGGCAACACAGCACAGGGGGGTGCGGACGCCGCCCGCTTCACCTGCCGCGGATACCACAATCTGCGGCAACTGCGGCACCGCAGGACACTACGCCGTCGGGTGCGCCATGCCCTCAAACCCAAGGACCTCGAACTCCGAGGAGGGTACCTCCGGGGTTCATTTGGAGGTATAAATATGAACTTCGGCCAAGAAGAACAATCGACGTCGAACACCACACCGATGGCCACAGCCTCTTCGACTTCCTATCGTCAATGTAGACCGTGAGGGTTTAGGCACGGCATCATGTACGCCACAGGAGGCGTCGCCAAGCAGGCGTGAAGGGCGAAGCCTAGCGGCGTTCTTGCTCGTCCTCCAGCTGAACCTGTGCCGTCCTCCGTGGAGGAGGTGGTTTCGTGTACGTGACGCCAAGTATCGAGCTCTTTGGGCGGGAGCGTGCCCCCCGTGGTCCCCGCTGTCCTCCAGTCTGAGTTGGGTGTTGTCCGGTTGCTGTTGCTGAGGCATCACGTCCTAGATGCTTCCGTCGCACCCTGCGCGGACGCCCCTTTCAAAACCGGAAACGTTGAGAACACCGGGGACGCACGTTGTTCTCAATCTAGGAGTATTTTGTTTTTCCCGCCACTTTTTCTTTTGAGAAGTGTTTCCTTCTGTTACGCCGTTTTTCCTGTTGCGCTGCGCATGCTGTTTACTCTTGTAAAAAATGTATTCCAGATCACATCATCATCGGTGCCGACAAACTTCTTTGCGCAACGCCGAATTATGAACATACGGCAAGAAGACCGACAAAACATCCGGCAGCAGCCTCCTTGAGGCCTATTTTGGGTAGCATGCTGGCCAGAAAAGCACACAAGAAGAGATAACACGCGGTCGAAGAGGGTTTTACCACCCTCGGGGGAGGCGAAACAGGAGCAAGCCTCGCCAAACCGCCCTTATCCTGCCCCTTATCCTGCTTCCTGAAAGCTTTCCCGTACAGGTCAACGAGGGTTTCACCCCCCGGCCACGAAGAAACAGGAGAATATAAGCCACGAGATGTCCTTGTTGTCCTTTCCTGGCGTGGCCCTCGAGCCAACTGTTCTAGAGGAAAGAACAGAATGCCCAACAACCTCTGTCAACCGTTGACCCTGCCCAAATCATCGCTAGCTCCGATCTACATATGGGGGCGATGGCGCTCGTCAACACGCGGGAGAGGAAATATGTGTGCCCGTTGTTACCCGCGTGCTTTCCCTTTCGCCCACAACAATCGTGAGAAACGCGTGATGTCAACATCGAGTTTGCAATTTTGACCTCTCGGGAGGTGTGCCGCGCGCTCGCGTGCTTATGTTCATGGTAGCGTGCGGGATCTCGATCAACATTAGGAAACATATGCATACCAATGTTGTAATCTTTCCGACAGCCGGGGAGATACAGCAGTAGATATGCCATGATGGCGCTGCCCAAGAGAACTGCTAGGAACGCAAGGAATTTTCCCGCGAAATGTGCCGAGGATTCCGATCTTCTGGTGTGGAGAATTGCTGGAGGGTGGGTGTAGCACGCACACACCTGCACCTGCCACTTCCCTCCTTCCCACCCACGAATAAGCAAACATCTGGCTGTGTGAGACGCCAAGCTCTGCAAGGTACACATGTACGTGTGTTGAGAGGGCGTTCTTACCCGCTTGGGCACGCCGGAACCTGCTTAAGGCCAGCAGCCGCCTCCCAAAATTCAGAGGCAAAATCACGATCACGCATGTTGTCCCGTCGCCCTCCGTCGATGAATCTATCGCCGTTGTTGTCGCAGTCCTGTCTCCCTCGCTCCCCTTTCACCGGGAGAGGGAATAGGCAGAGGCGCCGGTTGATATCTCGGACCAGGTCTGCTCCTTCGTACCACCCCTTTTTCCTTCGCCGTGAGACAGACCTCTTCTCCTTCGCCCCCCGTCATTTTCGTGGAACAATCGCTTCTCTTTGCTTATTCTACCTCCTACGCATACACCAGAAATAATCGTGCGCACCACCCATCTCTACCTTTTCCCCCGCCATTGCCAAACACACAGGAAAGCAGCACCAGCCCAGCAGCCGCACCAACACCAGAACCAGCGCCAGCACTATCACCAGCATCAGAACCAGCATCAGCACCAGCACCAGAAGAGAGCAAGAGCGAGAGCAAGAGCAAGAGCAACCAACCGGTGGGGGTCGAAATGCGTGGACTGCCTGATCTGTCGGAAAGACTTTCTTCGACTTCTTTCCCCGCCATCGAGCGCTCCAACACAAAAATAGCCACTGCTGTAGTCGCATGTTTACCTATACATTGTATACCGCTGCTCCACAATGTTGTGGACTGCTCCTCTCGGGAAGCACTACAAAGGCGCACCAACACGAGGAGGGTTCCAAAATACCCAGTACCCACAACACCCGACCCGCTCGTGGAAGCTGTGCCCCAATCCCCTCCAAAGAAATAAAAAAAATACAACTCCCCCATGGCCGAGGCAGGGGGGGCTGAACATAACACATGACGGCAGTTCCTTTTTTTATGATCTCGACGTCATCATGTGTCCAACTGCGAGGTGATTTTTGAGCAGCCACCCTGTACTGCTGCTGTTGCTTGTTCGTCCTGTCCCCTCCTGGTAGACATATACTTATATGTTTTCTGTTTGCGTGGGTCAGTATCCGCATCCATCCGCGCCGTTCCTTGTAGTATGTAGTAGTCTAGGTGTGGATCGCTTGGCGGGACTCTTTTTGTAGAGAGATGAATTCGTTGGGTCACATATTCTGATGGCTCTGGCATTTTTGTGACCACGGACTCGAGCTTTTTTTGTAGATTTTAGGATTAGCAATTGACGCGAGTTTAGTGTGAAGACAACAACAACAACAACAAACAACAACAACAACAACATATAGTCTAGACTATAGTCTGTGAACAGTCTATATAAGTAGTCTACGTGAAAGTTGCTGCACAGACACGCTAAGTCGTTGAGCAGCGCGGGGAATTCTGCAGTGGCGACCTCACTCTTATCTTCCCGTCGACAGCTCTTCTGTGGCAGGGTGCACCACCCCGATCTATGTACATAGCTTCCACTGCTTTTCTTCCCCAGTCGCTGACGTCTGGCTTAAGCTACAAGCCACGCCATGGGTGTCGTATCTACCAAGTGGTGGAGAAAATTATACGGAGGCACTTGCCCCGTTTATATTTCTCTCCAAAGACATGCACCAACCAGCTCGGGAAGAAAGCTTTTGCTGGTTTTCCATTCCCCCCCCGTCCGCTACGTGCGTTTTGGTGCCTCCTCTGTGTCATCGGCCAGCTTGCAACCAACCGTAGGAGGCGCCTAAAGTGCCGGTGCAACGCCCGAACACGGGGGGGAGAGAACGCACCCGTTCCAGCCTCCTACTGCCGCTGCTGCTGTGTCAACGAGAGAAGAGAGAGGCGCGACCTGATGGATCCGACTCTTACCGCCAAGCTTGCGACAACGGCATTCAAGAACAGGAAAGACGGAGATAAATTCTTGACCGCCGTGCTGGAGACCAGCCGAGGCATTGACGTCTCGGTGGACTCCCAAGAGCTCGCCGGACACGTCGACGAACATTTCGACAGCCACGCGGAGGGGGGGAAGGCCATCGTGGAGGGGTTTAAGAGGGTAAATTGTGTTTGTTCCTGCTGCTGCTGCTGCTGCTGCTGCTGGCTGCTGGTTGGTTGATGGTTGCTGTTTGTTGTTTCGGATTGTACCCATCCTGTAGGCCAGCCAAGTCGCCACAACATTACGTACGAAAGCCAAGTCGCCACAACATTACCTGTAGGCCAGCCAAGCCGCCACAACATCACGTACGAAAACCCTCAACAACCATCGAAAGGCGCGCACCACGCCCCCCATTATTCCGGCCCGGTCAGGTACACGGCTGCCGACGCTCGAGGCAGACCGGGAGCGCCCGAGAAACGTTGCACCTACTGTGCTCAAACGCCCCGCTTACGCCCCATCCGGCCCCACGATGAGCCTTGCTTCAGAAATAAATGTGATAGACTCGGACAGTGAACGCATCAGCAGATGACTGCGACAACACTCAATTGTCTAATGGATGCTCTAGCCCCGGAAAACACTCTGATGAAAACTGGCGCTCATTCCGCCACTTCCCTCAATCATTTTCGTTCCGTCCATCCGCCCCATCCCGTCAATCCGATCTCACAATCAATTATTTTGTACGCAGGTTTCTGAACACATCTCCGACGACGGGGCGAACGTAGACGACGGCATCCTGGAAGATTCAGCGGAAGCAATCGTCGGCGCGGTGGAGAGTGTGGCGAACAACGAGATAGTCCAGAATGCCGGGGAGCTGGTCGGGGATGCGGTGGGCGTCGTGCACGACGCTCTTCGAGAGGGTGTCAAGACGGGGACGGAGGTCGTCCACGGAGCAGCCCGTGCCATGAACAAAGCAGGAGGGGTTACCTCGCGAGGTATGCCTGACATCGAGGGCGTCGAAGAACGTGCCGAGCGTTACGCCGAGTCGATGGAAACCCAAGCCGAAGGGCTTTCTGATTCTGCCGCGGAAGCCTTCGACCGGGCCCGGGAAAACGCCCCAGACGTCCTCAGAGCTGTCGACCCTGACGGAACGCTGGAAGAAGCGGTCGAAGAAGTGACCGAAGAAGTAGGGGAAGCCGTGATGGAAGTCTTGGGGGGAGAAATCGCAGAAGAGGCGTTGGAGGCGGCAGTCGGAAGTATTCCCGTCGCGGGCGCCCTAATACCCTCGTACTACCTGATCCACGGGGGGGTGAAGGCCGCCGCTGGAGCAACCAGCCTGGCTGCGGCAGGCACGATGGCTTTGGTTGGAGGGGTGTACGGCCTCGCCGCCGCGCCGTTCGACGGCGGGGCATCCTGGGGCAAGGTCGCGAACGCTTCGAGGGGGGCCTCTGTTTGGGGCGCGAGCATGGGCGCAGAGGGCGGGCTGATTTCCGCCAAGGGCGCGATGGGATTCGCGGACCAGGTACCTATATACAACGTATGCCCCCCCCCCCCTCCGCACAAGAGTATTTCGTGCCGATGTCGTGTCCCCTACCGGTCGCTTTTTCTTCTTTTCGGAAGCCGGCAGTGACACGTTTGGGACGGGATGGCTCAAAAATACGCATTATTTGCCGGACTGCTTTTTGTTCGTATAAAACCAGGTTGCTCCGGGCGCCACCGTCCCGGTCAAGGTTGCGTGCAAGATGGGCGCGAATTATATCAATCAGATGCGAAACTCGAGGTGATTGTTCTCATTCAGTTGCGCGAACGATTTGCTTTCTCTTGCGTGTGAGTGAGGTACAATATCCTTCTTGCATCTAGTTATGCAGACTACGTAGTGGTGCAGCGGGAGTCAAGTACCACTTGCTCTTCAGGCCAGAAACCCACAAAGATGATGACAGTGCTCATCGAAAGGTCAGAGGCAGAATGCTCGCTCTCCTTGAAAGCAGCACTTTGGTGGTACGGCGCGCGCGCCTTCACTTTTGTGGGTGCGGCCGACCTATTATCATCCCGAAAACTGCCGTCGTGCACCCAAATGCCCGCACTAGTGCGCGCTCGACTCTCTCCTCCGTCATGCCGAGCTCTACCAACCTGTCCCCTCCCCCCCGGGACCGCCGCCAACACCGCTGCCGTGCGCTCTGTCACCACCATTGTTGTGATGCAGCCGGGGGGTTAACACACAAGGGGAAGATGATTTCGAGGTGAGAGCCAGGGAGCACGGGCGTCAAGCGGGCGACGCTGGCCGAAACATTTTGCGGAGTTCATGAAAGGGCAGCGTTTGCTTTGGGAGCAGATAGATAGATGACCGTGCTCGACCCCCTCCCGCCCGAAGTGACAGACGAACGATGCAAGCATGCATGCACACCGACAACCACCCCACCACGTACAGCAGTACTTGGGAAGAACTGGAGTCTCGCAGTGCGCCCACGGTGTTTCCGTCGTGTCTTCCTCATCGGAACCCCCATCATCATTCTCTGCTTGGGATGTACGGGCCGACTTCTCCCGCAAAATACTGGCACAGATGTTCCACCCGATTCGCAGCCAGTCAGAGCGTGTCCCTGCCCCGTGATACATCAAGGTAGTACATCCACCACCCTCTCGAAATCCGACCAGAGGACACAAGGCTCAGCAGCAAGCCAGAAGATTCACGGGTAAGAAGTACTTAGAGGTGCTGCCCCACCGTCGGCGCCGCTTGTCCACCTCAACACCGACTAATTGATCCTCCCTCTTTCTCTCTCTCTCTCTCCTTCTCTCTCTCTCTCCCTCCCTCTCTCTCTCTCTCTCCCTCTTCTCGGAAGGGCGTGGTCACGGAGGAGATGGTGCAGACTGAGAAATCGTACGAGATCTTCTCTGCGGATGGGACGCGGCTCGTGCGAGCCAGCAACACCAAGTCCAGCCGCTGCAACAAGGTAGATACGACTCTGGGTCCCGCTTTCCGCTTGTCGGCAGATGCACGGCACAAATCCCGCCGGCCGGCCACCGAATATTTGCCCCAACGAGGTGGTAATCTTCTTCTGATCGGGATGGAAAATAATTATTAATAATAGAGATAGCCATTGGTTCCTCCCTACTCCCGACGATGCATGATACTCGTTCCTACCTAGTAGACCCACTCTTGGGAAACGTCCGCGGGGAAGAGAGTTCTCTAGTCTCTCGCGTCGTGGTGCTCGCCAGAACGAGGGCTGGCTGCATCTCTTCTGACAAGCCGTTTCTTGCGCCGTGTACACCCATCTGCTCTCTCGTGTTCAGTTTTTTGGCTACGCCTGGGGGGGCTACGCGCTCATGTTTGAAAGCCCATGCCCATCCCAGCCGTCGGCGGCGGAGACTCAAGAAGATCAAGAAGAGGACGAAGGGCAAGAAGAAGAGCAAGAAGTGCAACGAGAACAACATCAATACGAAGAGCAACAAGATCGACAAGAAGATCGACAAGGCCCATCCGCATCCCCGTCGTCGTCGGCGGCGGCGGAGAAGACTCAAGAAGAACACAAAGAACGAGAAGAACGTTCCTCGTCCTTCTACTTCTCCGGTTCCCCGGGCGCCTACCGCCTGCACAGCGACATGCACGGCGGCAACACGCTGTTCTTCCTGGGGAAGTGCTACCCGGCGGAGTGGGTGGTCTGGGACGTCGGCGGGAAGACGGACGGGGCGTGGGAGAGGCTGGAGCTGAGGTGGCAGGAGGGCGGGAAGAAGTTCACGATCTCGGGGCACGGGGGCCAGCACGTGAGGTGGAAGGATGCCGACGGGTTCTTCCGAGGCACGCGGAGTGAGAGCAAGGCCACCGAGTTCGTCTTGAAGGAGAAGATCAGCAGCGCCACCGGTAATGATGCCAGCACGAACGGAACCAGCAGCAGCGGCAGCAGCAGCAGCTGAACGCTCGATCCCCGCGAGCGTGTTTTGTCGCGTGGCCCTTGATATTATTCAAGTTTGTTTTGTTTTCGGCCCCCGGCGATCGATCGATGTACGTGACCTGGATCACTGGGCATGTGGCATTTATTTCCTTGAATGTATTTGTTGTTGTTTTTTCGCAGATTGCACTGGTACCCCCGGAGTTGGTGGTGTTGATATTCTCAATCTTTTTTTTTTTTTTATCATTTTTGCCTCGCATAGCGTGCAAAGGGGAGCGGAGGGCTCCAGAGTATTTGCCTTGATCTTTGTTTGATGTTACTATATCGCTCTGCTAACCCTTCAGGTCCATTTTTTTCAGTGTACCTTGTTTCTCATGTCGCGGCCGAGATTAAGCTGAGTTTCTTCGCCATTTTTCCTCCTTGTTTTTCGTAAACTTTTGAGTTCTTTTTCGTAACAGAATTTTCCAAGTATATGCGGGCACGTTCTGTAGGACTGACGAGCCAGCCTTCAGGGTTGGGATTGCCGAGTGCTGGCCGCATCCTCAACGCTCACCGGTCCTTTCGTTCTGCCGCGGAAATGGTTAGATAGAGCCGCGTCCATTACTCCTCCTCAAGACCGCACACTCGAGCGCGGTCGGTCATCGGTATGTTGACACACGTGACGCGGGAGGACGCGCTACAAACAAACCGCGTTGTCGCCACTCACTACCAGAACCTGGCTGTTGTAGGTAAGGATTGCATCCAGCCTAAAAATGTTGGAGACGTGTGTATGCTGTGGCTGAAGATAGCGGCGCACGCTAAGCTCGTGAAAAATGCGCGCTCGTCGACAAGGTTCGTGAAGCCTCTCCTCTTGTTGGAGAGAGAAACAAGAATCGACAAAACGAACCCGTCAATATACACATTGATTGGAGTCCCGGGCTTTGACGTGGAGGTGAGGTGCATCACCACGACTATTTAAAGTATTAGTACGTGTGACGCCACCATCTTGATCGTTTTTTTTCGACACTCGAAAGCCTTTTTTGAAGTGTTTTCTTTCCCCACACCTAACTAAAACTATCAGCAAGGATAAGGGTGGATGTGGTAACTAAGGCGACGACGGAGAAAAATGGGCATGTTGAGGGGAATACGCTCGCTCCAGATTTTGGTTCCTTCACTACAGTAGCGTTTTGTCGGCAACAAAAGAGCGGTGAAACGTAGGGAAAACACCAAAAGCCTTTCTCTTCCCAAACTTGTCTGGCCCCGACGAGGGTTACTCATCGTTCCATGCACCTTTCTTTGTTATCCTGTTAGCGCAACGCGCTGAAAGCACAAGCTGCCAGTACGCTGCACCACTAGGATCAACCACAGACATGCATAGATTGGACCACAACCAGCGCGAGTAGTCCGTGCAGCCTGTTGAGCACCAAATTTGGAGTAACGTTGTACTGAACGTGCCCGCCAACAGAGGCCAGAGTAAACAAACCTTGCTCATGGGTGACGACACGAAGCCAATCGACACTCAATACTGTGTAGCAGGTAGCACTATCATACGGAGGAACCAGAACGTACACACGCGTCTAGTCCCGTCAAAAGCCGCGGTTCGGAGTCTGTCTCTGCTCAAGGCCTTTCCGAACACCCTTCAATGACCTTCTTCGCTCATCAACGACCAACGAAAAAAACGACCAAAATCACTAAAAAGAGTTTTGCAAAAACAAAACGAACAACCAACCAACAAAAACAACGAAAACATGCGTATGTATCATCGTGCGCAATGCGAAGAGGCGGCCCCGCAAACGTGGCGACCCCTCCACTACATACACCCCCGTTTGGCCCCCCGACGATTGATTCTGTTTTGCCTCTCGCACAGCAAGCGAGGGGGCCCCGCACAATCCCAAGCGGTCCGTGGCCCACCTGCACTTCATTGTTGCCATCCTTTGTTGAGTTGCTGCTGCTGCTGCTGCTGCTGCTGCTGCTGCTGCTGCGTACTGCCGGTGCCTCAGCCTACGGGAGGCACAGTGCGGCACCGCTCGTACGGCAAGAAATTGTCTTTCTAAACGCCTTCGGTGCGCCTCGAAACCCAAGGCAAGTCGCACGAAAAAAAACGCGAAGAAAAAAAAAAAAAAGGAAAAGGAAAGAAGGAACGAAGGAAGGTTTCGAAACCAATGCCTACGACCGAACCAATCGCACAAGACAAGCGTAACCGACGTGCCGGGCAACAAAAAAATAGTGCTCCCCAGTAACGGGTGCGGCATTTCCCGCTCGTCCTGCAACGTCAAGTTGGCAAGCGGAATGCCTGCCACCAACCACAGCTCACAGCGCGCGGCCCCTTCACGATCACTGCACAACGTCCGGTTCGCTGCCACTGGCCGTCGTCTCCGTCGTCTCTGGGCACACAAAACGGTTGCCCACGCAGTCGGTGTTTTGGTCTTGTTTATGTTCATTCTCGCGCGCTCTTCCTCGGACTGTTCCTTGCGTGTACATATCACCACATACAGTGGAGGAGGACACATTGTTCTGCAGTGCTGGATGCTCAGTACATGCCTCCCCCGCCCCCGCCCCCCCAACCCCCCGCAACCCCCGACTAGCTTTAGGATGTGAAATACTCTGCTTCTATTTAGCACCACCCGCTACATCCTCCCCTCTACCTCCTATCTCCACACCGGCCAGCAAACCTACATACCCTGAGGAGATATCACAAAGAGAGTCGCATCTGGATAATGGCTATTCGTTTGCCGGCAACAGAAAGAGGGCCATCAACTTCCTGAGGCCTGAGCCCAACCCCCCTCCCCAAGACCTGAGTCTACCCCCTATCCCACGACTTCCTTATTTCGTCCCCCTCACTAGCGCGCACGGATGTTGAAAGTGCCCCAACAGACAGCGGCACGCCAAGCCAACGCCAAGAAACCAAACCAACAAACCCAGCGCAAAAAAAAAAAAAAACGCCACCTTCTCCTACTTCAAATGCCCAAAACTGTGGTACAACGAAATCACACGAAAACCCTCCTACTCTGGTCCCTCGTTCCCAACCTCGGGGACCCCCCTCTTCCGAACTGAAAAAATAACGGGACTGAAAGGACCCCGACAAGGAAAGGGGGTGACGCTATCAATCCCCTTCCTCCCTCCCTCCCCCGCATGCAAGCAAAAAATGGCACGACTAGAAAAAACTGGACCGGCACGCTACTATAATAGAACAAGTGCAACAACTGCTACATGTACCAAGGGGAGGTGGGGGGGCAACAAATGGACAACAAGGAAAGTTAACAAACCCTAACCAACGACCAACCAACCAAACCTATCTACGGAGTTCCCCCACCCATATCCCTAAAACACCTTTCGGTTTAAACGAGCGACAGCCGTCATCGCAGCAACCCTCAGGCCGATACGGGCGCGGCACTACCGGCGGCGGCCTTCTCCAAGTGCGCATCGCTCCCGTCCGGGGTCGCCACCCCCCCCTCTGCAACCTTGTCGACTGCGTCGCCCCCGTCGCCCTCAACAGCAGCAGCACTACCCTCGCCGTTCACCGGCGCTGGCGGCAACAGATCCTCATAGTCGGGAGGCGGCGGCGGCGGCTTCTCGCCCCCGCCAGCCCCGTCCTCCTCCAACGCCACCCCCGCGACGCCGTTCGTAAGGGAGCTTATCTCCTCTCCGTCCACTCCATCCTCCGCCTCTTGGTCTGGTTCTCCTCCTCCTTCTTCCTCCTCTTCCTCGAGGGGGGATGAGAGCTGGGAGCTGTCGGCGGGCATCATGGCCGTGGCAGGGTCGAGGTCGTCGAGAACGTCCTCGTCGTTTTCCGAAGGGACCCACTCCTCCATGACCCCCGCGATCTCGCGGATCTTCTCCACCTGGGGGGGGGGGCGGGGGGCGGGGGGCGGGGTCGATGTGACGTGCGGTCAAGAAACAGGACAAGGATAACCCTCCACCCCAGAGGGAGGATGGCCATCACATCAGGGCTATCACGTGATGTGCGGCAAAGACACACGACTTTTACCCTACCAACCCCAAAGGGAGGAGCTGGTGGTGGTGGCGATCACGTCAGGACTCCTGGATGTCACAGGACTGACGTCATGTCGCATTTATAGTTGATATCGCTTTGGAATACAAGCAGTGACGACGCGGTAGCTTTCAGCTTTCGTCAGAAGGCATGTTGCGACACCACACGGAACGCAAACGGCTTCGCTGTGTTACACTAAGAAAAAAAAAAAAAAACATGTTACCACCCGAACGAACGCGAACACGTGTCAGAATTCACCACGATTTACTCATAATTTTCATTCGTGTTACAATGTTACCTTGGACTGCGTTCGGCCCAGCTCCGCCTTCATGTCAACGGATCCCTTGTAGGTTCCTCCGCCCTCTCCCTCCTGCAACCAGGAACACACAGGGATAGAGAGATCGGGACACAAGAGCAAGATCACCAACACCAACACAGTGTCAGACATCGATGCATCGCCGGCAGAGGAGACACCACTCTCACAATCCCTAGAACCGTGTAGTCCACCACGGTTACGATGGAAGGTCGCGATTGAGGACAAAATTAGCGCGGCCATTTTTACGAAAGAACCACCAACAGAACACCCTAAAGTCTGCCATGTATCTACCCTCTGATGGTGTTCCCACCCATCAAACAAGGAGCCAGGACTGCGCAAGAGTACATGTAGGACTCCTAAAGGGGTGGGGCAGTCCGCGTCCCGCGGCACGCCGATTAGCCTACTAACACATACGTCTGCCCTGCGCGATCGACTATTAGGCGGTTTGGGTACAAACTCCTGCCATAGGTTGCGTAAGATATCACACCCCCTAGATCAATTGTCAGAGCTCGATTACTCGGCAGGAAAAAACAGCGACGGTGCCGAAAATGGCGGCGTTAGAACCGTCCCGTCGAGAGCTTTCCGAAAACGCACCATTTGATTCCGACATCCTCTTCGTCGTGGAGTAGTCAGTAGTCAGGCTTTCAAAGTCTGTCCAGGGGGTGTGGCATCTTACGTCATGCAACATAGTCACTCAGTGATCGTATGCGGTATGTTTTCTAGCTTTGTGGTATACGTCACCTCTTGAGCCATGTCCGCCGTCAGCTCATCCGTGTAGGCCTCGAGCTCCGAGATCTCCACCCGGACCAGCTCGCTCGCTGTTCGCTGCCCGCCGTTCGTTACCGAAATGTCCGCGCCCGCCTGCAGTCGCCCAAAATCATACACATGAACCACCCAGGGGGGGGGGGGGGGGGGTGGGCGGTAAGCGGGGGAATAGGGGGTCACAACCCTCAAATTCATGTTGGGGGGGGGGGGGGGGGAAAAACCCCCCAA